CTGTCCTCTACCTGCTCAGGTATTCTGTCCTCTACCTGCTCAGGTACACTGTCCTCTACCTGCTCAGGTATTCTGTCCTCTACCTGCTCAGGTACTCTGTACTCTACCTGCTCAGGTACACTGTACTTTACCTGCTCAGGCTGTGTTAGATTTGTTACAGTAACTGAATTCAGTCTCAGTAAATAAAAGGAGTCCTGAGGAACTCTGTCATTAAACAGAACTCAGTCAGTGTGATCAACACGTATATAAATGATTATTGATCGTTCATACGAAGCGTCTCAGCTTTGGTCTGTAAACATTCTGTATTGATCTGTTGGAGGTGATTACATTTATTAATGAGTAAAAACTGAAACTGAAATAAAATGATGAAGGAGTTTGTCACAGGTGAGGTCAGGTGTGTGTGTGTGTGTGTGTGTGTGTGTGTGTGTGTGAGACTGTGTGCTCTGTGCTGCGTTTAGGGTCAGTCTGTGTTTAGCTCAAGTGCTGATCTCAGGGTTAAACCAGTTAAACACACTCAGATCAGGTTTATATAACAACTGTTCCTGGATCAGATTAAACTGGATTAAGACAATAAGAGGACACACACGCACACGCACACGCACACACACACACACACACACGTTTTCAGGTGACGTTAATTTCATATGTTCTGATTCTGGATCTGAATAATCAGAAGTCGAGACTGACGTGTAAATGTTTGTTTTATTTTAGATTTGTGTGTAAATATAAAATCAATATCTGATTATTGATAAAATGACACTGATGTGAACACGCTGAGCAACAGCTACATCTAGTGGCTGTTAGATGAACTGCAGCTCAACACAGAACAGACCTGAGATCAGTTCACGCATCACACAGTGATGAACAGAGTGTTGAGTTAAATTGTCCTCTCAGTGCACTCGGTCCTCACAGGGACATTAAGTTATCAGTGTGAGTTCAGTAGAGCTTCATGGAGGCTGCGAACAGCTCGCTCAGGTCCTCCTCAGTGTGCTCTCTGGGAGACAGTTTGGTCACTCGCTCCTGAAACACAACAACAACAAGATCCCTTTAAAAAAAAAAACACTACATGAAAGTGAAATATTTTACAAACCCATGAAAGATTTAAAATGTTTTTAAGGTTCAGGGATTTTCTTTTATCCTTATTCCTTAAAAAGCCCTTAAAATGTGCACATCATTTACTTTGAATGTCTTAAAGTGGCCTTAACTATTCAATTAAGGTAAAAATTCAATAAGCAAACAAAAATAAATAAGCAAAGAAATTCCCTGTCATGGTGACGTGTGTTGATACAAACAGTCAGGGCTGTAGTTAAAGTATTAACTGCGGGGGACACCCCCCACAGACATGTCTAAAATCCCCCCCAATACATACTGATAAAAAATAAATGTTTGGAAACTGCTCCGCCGTCAAAAATCATCATTATCAGATGAGTCATAAACAAACAGTTTCTCTGTTTCATCATTTTGATGTGAAAATTCTAAAACATTAAATGAACACAGGAAGTGTGTGATGATGAAAATTGAACTAACACAAACGACCGGTTTGATCATCTGAAGCTTTTACACATGAATTGAAACTTTCCCACTCTTCTGAGGGTCAGTGAAGTGACACACCTGAGGGATGGTTCCTTTCACCAGCGCTGGGATGTCGTCTTTACTGTATCCCACAGCTCCCAGTCCGTCCTCCACCTGCAGGTCAAACAGGAACTGACGCAGCGTGTCGGCCAGAACAGCACCCGCATCCTCTCTCTTCACCTGCCGAATGTCTGCACCTGAACGCAACAAAGAGTCTGTTACTGCACCTGAACACAACACAGACTCTGGTACTGCACCTGAACGCAACACAGAGTCTGTTACTGCACCTGAACACAACACAGAGGGTCTGTCAACATGTGGGTGGTGTGAGGAATACTGAATGTCACTGAATGCTCCCCATGCACTGTATATTTGAATAATAAAGATGGCCGACGTGTCAGCTCCCAGAAGGTGAAGCACAAACATCTGAGCACCCTCTGGTGGCTGGCTGGTCATAACCCTCTGAACATGTTCCAAGTAAATTAAATGTTTCCCTCAGATGGTTTCTGTCGGTTCAGTTTATCACAGGTTGTTGATTCGAGTGTTTCTGATCAGTTTGTTTTTTGGTCGCTGAGTAACGAACTCTGCACGCTGACCGAATCACATCTGAACCACCAAGTTCTGATTCAGGTTCAATCCATCTGTGCTAGATTTCACTATCTAAGAGCATCTGTGTGAGAACGACATGGAAGATGGAAGATGTAATGTGACCTATAAACGACGTTAAATGAAGGTTAGCGTCCATAAGGCTGGACGCCACCATGCTGGAGCCCCGCCGCTGCTGTGCCGGTTGCTATGGCTACAGGTGGAGCTCTGCTTGTGTCATGTCATTTATTATAAACTGTATCATACTGTGTTGTTTTATATTGAATGATCCAGGACTGTCAGGTGAACAAGTGAACAGGTGAACAGGTACCAAGGATCTCTGCAGCCTCCAGGTGGCGCTCTGGACACATCGGGGCTGTGAAGTTGAAGACGGCCGGAGATGTGAGGACCACTGAGAGACCATGAGGCTGTGGACACACATACACACACACACACACACACACACACACACACACACACACAGTGTGTCACTGTTGATTATCGACCTGTTTGGTTTCAAAGCTTCATACCAGCAAATCTCTGCAAACAAACATTTTAATATATTAATAATAATCATTAAATAAAACCTGCAGTTTTCTTTTTCTGAAACTCTTCATCTTTAATGTTTTATAATATAAATCTTTAATATTTTCTGTTTTTCATGAGTTTGATAAAAACTGTCACATGAACACACCGACTTAAAACTAAATTTGTCCAGAAATGAGTCAAACTCATTTATTTATTTTGTAAACAGGAAGAACAGCAGCTCTGGTTTTATGAAGTCCTAAGTGGAGTTCTTCAGGGAACCTGTTCAGGTCCTCTGTGGTTTTCCGGTTTAACAGTTCAGGTTTAACTTTTCATGGTATCGTCTCATTTTCTTGAAACCAAAAAAAGAAAAAAACAGTCAATGGACTGAGAATATTTTCTGTTTTTGTCTTTCATTAATTTTCTACACCTGAGCCTCATTTCTTATTTCTGATTCTGTTTGTCCACTAACGTTGAGCAATGATCTTAACAGGAGTTTTAAGAAAATATGATTGTGGGACTCATTAAAACATTTTCTTGAATGTAAACATTTTTGATTTCCTAAGCCAGATTTTGACTGATATCTGAGAACCACAAGTGTGGGACTGTTATGATGTAACATTCAGGCAGCTCAGTGTAGTTCCATCACTCACCACCAGAGGGTGCTCCACATTGTAACCCTTCGCTGAATGAGTCTTCACGCTACCAGCGATTGGATACGACATCCCATGACTGCAGAGTGAAAACAACACAACAAAACATTTCTATTCAGCCTTCAGTGCTAAAATGTATCCCTTAACTGTTTTAAATGAATTTACCAATTAAAAATGATGTAATTTAGGAGTTAACTTTATTTAAGCATTCTTGAATAGATCATCTGCACAGGTTAGGGACTTTTAAGTTGTTGTTTTTTTAACCATTTAAAAATCCCCTAAACCATGAACCAAATAATATGCAAATTAAATGGGTTCATTCCAAATTTGGGAACAATTAATCGACAAAAAAAAAGGATTATTATATTTAAGGGTTTTGTTAATGTACTATCACCACAGTTGAGGATTTTTTAAAAAGGTAAACACCGTTAAAGGGGCAATAAGCGAAATTCATCATTTCTAGATTGAAGGAATTAAAAAACTGCTATGTGAAGAACTAGAGGTGTAATTTCATCTGGAGTATAGCATGACCTCACACACCCTCTCTCTGTGTTGATCTGAAGCCCACTGTTTACAAGCCGGTCCGGCTGCGCGTTCATGTACGTTCATGTGAATGCCCTCCTCCTCCTCCTCCTCCTCCTCCTCCTCCTCCTCCTCCTCCCCCTCTCGGAGCCCTTGACCCTCCCTCCCTATAAAAGGCTACAGCCAGTGAGCAGTGGCGGCGGTTATTTTCGAAATGAAATGGCAGAGAGCAGAACGTCCACCTGAAGACGACCAGGATCTGACATTACCTAAACAACGGTCGTTGCCGAAGAAGTTGTCGGATAAAGAAAGGGACAGAACTCAGATTAACATTGGCCTTGCATTTCCAAGGTGGAGAGCACTGCGAGAGCTAAAGGGGCTACAATCTGACTCGGAGCTAGCTCTTCCTCTCCTGGACAGGTACAACATAAAGTCAAATGTCTGTTTTAATTAGTGTTACAGTAACGTTAGGCACATGTCGCTATGTCGATTAAATTAAATTTAATGTTACAGTCGTAGCATGGGTTAATGTTCAGAGCTTGAGTTATTAGCGGCTCGGTCCCAGCAATGGGTCAGGCGTTATGGTTGTGTTAGGTGAGTAGCCCGGCAGCCAGTTAGCCTCCGCTAGCTCTCCGTTTGGATCCAACCGGAGCACCGAGCCCTGGTTTGTTATTCAGGTTAAAGTGGGAAGAAGCAGCGGGTTTATCGGGCAGCTGAGTGAAGTGGAGCCTGCAGAGGAAACACCGGGACCGTCTGGATGTAATAGTCCGTGGAGGTGCTGCGGTGCTCGGCTGCACAGAGGAGGCGAGTGGGGTGGGGGGGTGTAGAGCAGAGGTAGAGGGAGGAGTGGCTCATGACACACTTTGTTTTGCTCTACAGGCAGTGCACAACAGCAAACCTAGCGGTGAAACGATTTCGCTTATTGCTCCTTTAAAAATGACAAAATAACAAAAAGTTGGTGGTTCGTGGTTTTGTTTCTCACCACAGATGGACTCCGGCATTTCCGAAACCGATGCCGGCAAACACGCTGGCCAGGTGCATGCTGGACCGAGCCTCCAGATCCTCAGGGTCTCGCACCGCTCTGTAAACAACCAACCAACCAATCAATCAATCAATCAAACCAACCAACCAACCAATCGATCAGTCAGACATCCTGCTCCTGAGGTTTTCTGCTTTACAATTTTAATATTTACCACAAAGTTTTTACAGACCAAGAAGTTTTATTTAAAGTAAAAACTCTGAATGTACGTTTTCTTTTTAAATTTCACATTTTGTTTTTATTTATATATTTTTTAAAGTGTCACTTAAATCTTTATTTAAACATAAGTGTTTTAATTTAATTGACTTTGTTTTATTTAAATTAAATCTAACATTTTAAGTTAGTTTTAACAACATTTCAGACCAAACCTTAATAAAGTTAAGTTAATCAATCTCTGTAACTTTTGAGTATTTAAACTCTTTCTAAATTAATCAAGATGCTGGTATGAATTTATTTCATAACCTACAGTCTGTAAAAACATTGAACCCTCCTAACACGCTCAGATGGTTAAAACTCAAACAAACAAACAGGATAAAGCCTCAAACCTCAGAGTGATGGTTGTTTACATGAGGAGAGCAGCAGCTCTGGAGCAGCGCTGGAGTTCCTCAGGGATCATGTTCGGGTCATCTGTGGTTCTCCACAATTCACATTCACCTCCAGTTAAACTTTACTCACCGTTTCATGTACTTAGCGACCACGTTGAGGGCGTGGCGGGACCAGACATCACTGATGGGGTTGCTGCCCTGGTAGGCGGGACGGTTGATGGGGTTGGGGGGGCAGGGGCTCCTCTGGTTGTAGGGCAGCGCAGTGTACGACTCCAGAGCATGACTGAGGGAATAAAACACAGATTATTATCGGTATTATTTTGTGACTTATCTGATAACAACTCATTACATCACCACCACGAAAATAATGAGCAACTACCAGCCTGAAATACCCACATCTTTGTTCAAGCCCCATACTCTCAAAAATACTGTAAAAAATAAAAACAACACATATACAACAACTTACGCAAATAGAAACTAAGTAATAGTAATAAATGACATGATAAAAACAATCTTCTAATTAACTGACTGAAGATGAAATTTAAAAAGACAAAAGTTCAAATAAAGATTTAAACTGTCCTTGTGTCTCATGAGTCTCATGAAATCATTAACACACTGTGAACACATCACTGAGACGCTCTGATACTGTCTGTAGGTGAAATGTTGCTCTGATCTGAAAACACTCTGCAGGGTCAAAGGTCACGGCTGCTCCACAGCGAGTACAGGAGCCCACGTTCAAACCAGAGAATAAAAACTTAAGATAGTTTGAGAACCTTTGAACGTCGACAGAATCAGTCTCTGCTTGTCGACAGTAAAATGATCTGAACATTAAATAATCAAAACAAATAAAAATAATAAAAATAACGTCATGCTGGACGGACAGACCAGAGCACGTCGAAGCCGCTGTTGGCGGCAACTCTCTCGGGCATGCTCAGTGTGTGCATCGGGTCCACGATGCCCAGTGTGGGTCTGATGGCTCTGCTGGCGATACCTGAACACAAACAACCAATCACAGCTCAGACTGATGCTATGATGTCACCGTTCAGACTTCATTTAATGAACTGGGAGTTTTTGGAGCACAGAGACTTTAAATATCACAAACGTCTTCAAACAGCAAAGTTTTCACGCTGAAAACAAAAGTGTCACTTTCACCTGTTTTAGCTTTGAGAGGCTCGAAGTCAAAGATGGCGACGCCGGTGGTCTCACTGCCGGTGCCGGCGGTCGTAGGAACTGAGGGACAAAGTACAGATCAGAGAAAACACATTAACGAGGAGACTCTTCACCTCTGACATCTTCGCTGTGTGAGGAGCCTTGAACTCACGCTGCCAGATAAGACAAGAAAACATCAGCGGGTTCTAGTTTAACTGATACAAAAAATAAGAATCAAAGGTAGAAAGTAAAAATTAACCCAAAACCCCTCAAAATGTTCATGACGAGGACAGGAAGGAGAAATAACAGATTTCCATGTAAAAATCTACTTAATTAAAAAAAGTAATCATCTGCATTGTTGTTAATATTATTCAGTATTAGTCATCTCGCAGACACCAGATGTTGTATCTTATATGAACTAAATAATAATAATATGTAATCAAATTAAACATAAATATTAAAAGGTATTAACGGCCAGAAACGTTTGGCCAGAAAGACAGAAGTGGTTTTATCAATATATTAATTAAATAACTTAAGTTAGAGAGGCTTTAAAAAAATAATCTGATGGAATATTTATTCAGGAAGGTCTGAGGAAAAATGAAGAATATAAAACAACTGAATAATTTTATTAATGCTTAATTAAATTTTAATAAATGGTTAGTTTTAAATCTGATAAATATTTAAAACATTAAATGTATAAATTGTATTTGAAATAAAGATAAAAGTAGTTGTAGTTATGTTGGTGTTTTTGTTTCCTTATCAATAATCAAATGTTTTTTTAATTCATTTTCAGAATCTGATCAGCTGTTACCTGCGATGAGTGGCTTCAGAGCTCCGGTGATCGGCTTCCCTTTGCCGATCGGAGCGTTGACAAAGTCCAGGAAGTCGGCATCGGGGTGACACGCGTACAGATTGGCTGCCTTACAGGTGTCAATCACAGAGCCACCGCCCACCGCCACGAACACGTCGAAGGAACCGTTTTTAGCAAACGAGATGGCATCTTTAAAACTGCAACACACAGACAGACAGACAGACAGACAGACAGAGGGCGACACCGTTGTTTTTACAGTGTAAATATTAACTGATTAAAGTTACACTGTAAAAAATGTCCACACCAAAATCACAACAAAACTTTTACTGAATTTCACCTGTGACCTCGTCCACTGTGACGACTGACTGTCCACTGTTCTTTTATTTTTTCTAATATATTTTATTTGTTGTGTCGTTAAAAAGTCTTTTTATGTTCTTTTACTTCTGTTTTTTGTGAAACAAATATTTTTGAATAAGATTTTATAATAGTTATAATATTATTTTCTAAATGTCAGGGATCTGATTCTGTCCTAATTTAACAAACTGAAATAATCTCAGTTTTCAGTTAAACATTTTAACAACACAACACGGTCATAATGTCACCTTACTTTTATCAACTTTTACTCACTGTGTTACTTCCTGTTTACATCTTTGTACAGTTATATATTTTTATTTTACATCACACATACATTTACATTTCATGCATTCCTGTTTACATTACCATTTATTTATTTTGCCATCCACAAATATATTTTATATTTCTGCACTATTTTATGTCTTAGACTTAATTTGTGTTTTCATATTTTAGACATAATTAATGAGTGTTGTTGGAGGACGCCTGAAATCTAACGACTGCTTCTCTGTAATGGTCGTTCACGATGATAAATAACTAGGAAACTTTTCAGATCCAAAAAGAACTGCAGATAAATGTGACTTAACATAAAGCAAAACTCTTTAACTAAATAAAAAACTACAGTTGTCCTATCAGAGGACAGTCTGCACGACTGCTTATTATCCTCATAAACCTGCATGAAGCCACAGCAGCATTTAAACACTTCAGAAAGAAAAAACAACATGTAAAAAGCAGCTTTCGGCTGCAGCTCAGGACATTTACGACTTTAAATAAAAAGTCATTTCAAACGTTTAATGCAAACATTTTAGTGACCGTCAAAACTACACGTGGGACCATAACTCCGACATCAATCTAATCAGAATTCAAACTTTGTCTCAGAAACCACGTCTAAACTCTGAAATCAATGGGAAGAATTGTAGGACCAGTGAGTCCTCACAACGACAGTATGGAAACAGGTGTAAGTCCTCATAATGTAGGATCACCAGATTAAATAACAAAGAGTCAGATACACTCTAAAGTGTCCTGATAAAAATTAACCCTTTGTTGTCTCTACATGGAAACCTGGGAGTCCATTACTGTTGATTTTTACTTTAAAAACTAAGTCCTCCTCTCTCTCTGACTTCTACGGGAGCTTGGAAAAGGAAACGTTTCCTCTGATGAGACGCCACGCAGACAGAATGAGTCTGTTCGGCTCAACATACGTGAGCAAACACTTTCTCTGTTAACGCCGAACAAAAGCAGACTGAGAACCAAAATGGCCGACAGCCATCTTCGTGATGTCCTTTGCTTCTCAACCACCAAGTTTACACCTGACCTGCAAGCCACCCTTCAGTCCATAGAATGCTGTTTCCATTTGAGGTGATTAAAAATATATTACACAGTATTCATGTGTTAATCAGCAGGGCTGGTGTGCAGGTACACACGTGCCACAAGTATCAATAATGCGTAACATCACTTCTGTCACTACGTGGCTTCTGCATACAGTGACACTGACTCTTTGTCTACACGTGTTTCTTCTTAACACACGAAGGACTAAACATCGCTGCACACACACTGCGCAAAAAAAAAACTTTCCTTACTGTGAGGCAGATTCAGATTTGTCTGCATTTTTGACACGAGTGGCGTCAGATCAGCCGCCGCAGCTGGACTGTCAGCGCCGCTGATACTCACCAGAGGAACTGACTAAGAATAATGTGCTCCCAGTTAATGAGCCCAGTTCAGTCCATTAGAGTCGCTAACATTTTCTAACAGATGTTACTTGGTGTGTTCTGAAGCCCATTAACTTCCATAACAAGCTTGAAATGCACCATCCCACTGACTGTTCCTTCTCTGTGCAGCGCTGTGAGCGGCTTCACCATCCTGACTGAGGACTAATCTGAGGCTGCTGCTCTGAGAATGAGCTGTCGACCCTGTGTTGAATAAATAATGTGAAGTTGATGTGTGTGTGTGAACTTTATGCTCTTTAAGACACGACAGGCTTCACAGCTCAGCTCGGGTCAGTGGCCCGGCACTACGGATATTTGTCTGTGTGTGGCCGTCAGTGAAAAAAGTTTGGCCCCTGCTGTACAGAGTACATGGACTGCCCTCATCAGCAATTTTTTTGTTACTGTCTCTACACCTGACAGCCAATCAGAGAGCAGCAGGTGTCTCACCTGGTGTCGGTGGGCTCCACCCGCACGTTGTCGTACACTTTGTAATTGACTCCGTTCTTGGCCAGAGACTCCAGGACGGCCTTCACCGGTGGGAGACGGGACAAGTTCTTGTCTGTCATCAGACAGACGTTCCGAGCTCCGAGGTTCTGCAGGTCCTGCAGGAGAACCGAAGAAAAACTTTATTCATATCTAACGAACAGACGGAGATCTGTTTAACAAAGTGCGTTTAACAGACTTTATTTTATCAACACACACTTCCAACACACTTAACTGCTCACTCAGATCACAGTGTGACAGCGACCTCACAAACTGGTGACCCTGCGATCAGGATGTCTGATCAGCTCAACATGTGTAAGTGCAGAATCAACCCAGAGATTTTGTCCCTTTAATTCTGTCTTACCTGACACACACCGGCTCCTGCTGCTCGCCACAGGAAGGAAACAATCATGTTAAAATCAGAAACAAATGGAAAAAGGTCGATCATAGAAAGACGGTACTGATTGAGAAATGGTCGTCAGCTGAGCTCTGCAGAGGAAGACATGATCAACAGGACAGTTTAAGAGGTTTGATTTCTGACAGACCGACCTGTGACACTTCACATTCAATGATTTGAGACAAAACTGTGTACGACATGATGATGATGATGATGATGATGATGTTTGGTTACCATGCCGATCTCCCTGCTGACTCCATCTCCATATCTGATGTTGGAACTCGCCATCTGACAGAAACACACAGCACGTCACTGATCTGATCCGAGGACCAGGGTAAATACATCACAAACATTTTAAGAGTTTTAATTCAGCGAGTTAAAAACTACGATGTAACACTGATCACTGGGTCACAACCAGTCGGTTCATCTTGATTTTGATAGCAGCACACCTGTTAACTGGAAACTAACTGGTTCATCTTATAAGGAAAAAATGTTGATGAGGTGAAACACAAAGAAACTTCTTCTCTGAGTGCGGCGCTCGCTGACTCAGTGAACTGTCAGGTCACATTTCAAACATCTGTTCAGAGGAGACATTTTAATGTTCTGTGATGGAAATGTCTTTATTTTACATTACGGTGGCTTTGCTGTTTGTCTCCACAGTGAAAGTTGTGGATGGTCCCAACAGAAGCGTTCCTTAGCGTCCCCATGTTTGGTCCCCCCTCTGTTGGGGTACCTAGCACACAGATCTGGTACTAAAAGGTGGAGCTAGAAACCCTGCAGTCTGATTGGTCAGTAGAGGACGCTCACTCTGGTTTTATGTAACCTCTGTTCATACATCAGTAAACTACAACTATAAAATGAAAGAGAAAAAAATAACTTCATTCACTGGGCCGACTGCCGGCAACTTTTAAGGTGGAACGTTAACTTGTAATGTTACTCAATGCATGAGTTGATGACGTGAATCCATCAGCACACCTTAAATTTCACTGTGACAACTTTGACCATCACTTTAGTTTTTATATGACACACACTTTTAGTAATGACTTTAAAAATATAGATTAATTTGGAGCGGATTATGTGAAGGTCATATATTCTAATCCTCACTTCCTGTGGGCTACAGCAACACTAAACCCCTGAGCTTGCCTGAGAAGGACTAAATGCACAAAGCTGCTATTTTTAAATATCCCATGGAGAGAGACTCTCACTGCAGCCTGTTCTATTTTGTTGTGAAAATGTGGGCGTGCAGCCTCGTTCTGTGGACGATAAACCAGGTGCAGACTTCCATCTGTGTCACCGCTGATGAGGAAATACAGCGAGTGCTGGACGGAGCAGTGAGTGACAACAACCCCGCCCACATTTAAGAGGACTGTCTGAACACACCGAGGGTCTAGGTACCATGTCTGAAGGCTTACTGCTGGATCCAAAGGGACTAGACTGAAAGGGTTTGGTGGAGACGGAGCTTTATTTGTCAGAGTGTGTGGTCACACCAGGCTCACATCAGAGACCAGGCCTTTAATTGGGACCTTTTAACAGAAGTTCTACAGTCGACTGTTTAACTCCGTCATGAAGCCGGAATGTTTGAAATATAATAAAGTTAAAAATATTGATTCCATTTAAAGTTTACATTATTTTTATTTTTCACTAAATTCTCAGAAAACCTTCAGACACCAGACGACTCCATCGTTCTGACATCTGAGACACTGACAAATAAAATATATATAAAATATTAATGAGCTGAATGTTTAATCTGTGCTGTGACTTCACTGCTGCCAACGAGTTTCTGTGAACCATTTGTTGAGTTACCTCGAAGGCATAGTCAGTCTTACGGACGGTGCAGGTCGCAGCTCTGGCACCTGCAGGAGAATAATAACAATAATTATATAACCAGCAGATTATTGATGGACGGATAGAAGATATCAGTTATTGATCCAGATCAACCAGAATCTGGGTTTTGATGATTGAAACATGTGGTGATCAATATCAGTTCAGAGAAACAACACTGCCTCTGTGTTGTCCTGAGTAAAGGTTTTCAGTCAGTCAATCAATAACACTGGTCGATCAGCAGAAGTTACTTATTGATAAACCCACCATGTGTGTGTGTGTGTGTGTGTGTGTGTGTGTGTTACCTTGGTGGAAGGTGTTGGAGTGAGCAGGACATCTGCACCTGTTCACACAGAGCAGAACTCCAGTCAAACCTGTACACAGTTCATCGTTCTAACGCACCGTCAGCACGTCGTCTCTGAATGAAGGGAACTTTAAAACTTCATCCTCAAACTGACGACATTCTGTCAGTGAATAAACTCTAACAACCATCGTCTCTGCTCAGAGTCTGGTGGTTGTTGTTCTGCACAGATGGTTTCAATTTAATCTTTGATGTTAAACACAAGATGAAAAACTAAAGACACACCTGAGGCAGCCTCATTCACCTTAAAGGGATAGTGCACCCAAAAATGTAAATTCAGCCATTATCTACTCACCCATATGCCGAGGGAGGCTCAGGTGAAGTTTTAGAGTCCTCACATCACTTGCAGAGATCCAAGGGGAGAGGAGGTAGCAACACAACTCCACCTAATGGAGGCTGACGGCGCCCCAGATTCAAACGTCCAAAAACACATCATTGAAACCACAAAATATCTCCATACTGCTCGTCCGTAGTGATCCAAGTGTCCTGAAGCCCCGACATAAAAAGTTGTTTGGAAAAACCTCATTTGAACTCTGTTTTTAGCCTCATTGTAGCCTGCAGCTCTAACTGCCCCTCTGTGCACCGTGCTCATGTGTGTGCAGGTGTGTGTGAGACCAGCGAAAGCACGTGAACACACATGAAGGCGGTGCCCATGTCTCACGGTCTCGCGCAAGCGCACACACGTGAGCGCGGTGCCCAGAGAGGCAGTCAGAGCTACAGGCTACAATGAGGCTAAAAACAGAGTTCAAATGAGGTTTTTCCAAACAACTTTTTATGTCGGGGCTTCAGGACACTTGGATCACTACGGACGAGCAGTATGGAGATATTTTGTGGTTTCAATTATGTGTTTTTGGACGTTTGAATCTGGGGCGCCGTCAGCCTCCATTAGGTGGAGTTGTGTTGCTACCTCCTCTCCCCTTGGATCTCTGCAAGTGATGTGAGGACTCTAAAACTTCACCTGAGCCTCTCTCGGCATATGGGTGAGTAGATAATGGCTGAGTTTTCAGTTTTGGGTGCACTATCCCTTTAAGGTGAGTTAGATTTAGACTTTTTAAGAGTTTCTTAACATCACTCAGAATGAAATTTAAAACCAATTTTACAATGGGCAAAACTGAACAGCAAGTAGAATCACCATCAAAACATGATGATGTCACAGTCAAGCTGACCTTTGGTCAGAATTAGTGAATGAATTCTTCAGTTATGGACAAAAACATGTTTTGTGAGGTCACACTGACCTTTGACCTTTGACTGCCAAATTCTAATCAGGTTATTCTTCAGTCCAGGTGGACGTTTGTGCCAAATTTGATGAAATTACCTTTAGGTGTTTTTGATATATCGTGGTCATTAGAACAAGACAGATGCAAGGTCACGGTGACCTTTGACCTACGACCACCATATTCTAATCACTTCATCGCTGAAATGCCCTGAAGACGTTCCTGAGACATCTTGTTCACAAGGATGGGACGGACAGACGAACAACCCCAAAACATGACCCCTGCAGCCGCAGCTGTCAGGCTCCAGGACCAGGTTCTGTCTGGGTCAGTCTGATCTGGATTAATTTCACTGACACGGTCAGAAAATGTTTTAATATCAAGTGATAAATTAAAGTTAAATTAATTATCTCACAGATTTTCATGTAAAGGTCTGTTAAGTCACCATCCAACACTAAAGGAGGTCACACAGAGGTCACACAGAGGTCACACAGAGGTCACTGAGCTTCTGATCAAAGTCTCTGTGACGTCTGATATAAATAAATTCAAAGCCTGGTTTCAGCTCAGCCGACACTGATCAGGTCCTGTCAGCTGTTACTGATATTATAGAGACCTGACACATGTTCAGGTCAGGAGACTAGGAGACTATAGAGACCTGACACATGTTCAGGTCAGGAGACTAGGAGACTATAGAGACCTGACACATGTTCAGGTCAGGAGACTAGCAGACTTTGTAGAGACCTGACACATGTTCAGGTCAGGAGAACAAGAGACTATAGAGACCTGACACATGTTCAGGTCAGGAGACTAGGAGACTATAGAGACCTGACACATGTTCAGGTCAGGAGACTAGGAGACTATAGAGACCTGACACATGTTCAGGTCAGGAGACTAGGAGACTATAGAGACCTGACACATGTTCAGGTCAGGAGACTAGGAGACTATAGAGACCTGACACATGTTCAGGTCAGGAGACTAGGAGACTATAGAGACCTGACACATGTTCAGGTCAGGAGACTAGGAGACTATAGAGACCTGACACATGTTCAGGTCAGGAGACTAGGAGACTATAGAGACCTGACACATGTTCAGGTCAGGAGACTAGGAGACTATAGAGACCTGACACATGTTCAGGTCAGGAGACTAGGAGACTATAGAGACCTGACACATGTTCAGGTCAGGAGACTAGGAGACTATAGAGACCTGACACATGTTCAGGTCAGGAGACTAGGAGACTATAGAGACCTGACACATGTTCAGGTCAGGAGACTAGGAGACTATAGAGACCTGACACATGTTCAGGTCAGGAGACTAGGAGACTATAGAGACCTGACACATGTTCAGGTCAGGAGACTAGGAGACTATAGAGACCTGACACATGTTCAGGTCAGGAGACTAGGAGACTATAGAGACCTGACACATGTTCAGGTCAGGAGACTAGGAGACTATAGAGACCTGACACATGTTCAGGTCAGGAGACTAGGAGACTATAGAGACCTGACACATGTTCAGGTCAGGAGACTAGGAGACTATAGAGACCTGACACATGTTCAGGTCAGGAGACTAGGAGACTATAGAGACCTGACACATGTTCAGGTCAGGAGACTAGGAGACTATAGAGACCTGACACATGTTCAGGTCAGGAGACTAGGAGACTATAGAGACCTGACACATGTTCAGGTCAGGAGACTAGGAGACTATAGAGACCTGACACATGTTCAGGTCAGGAGACTAGGAGACTATAGAGACCTGACACATGTTCAGGTCAGGAGACTAGGAGACTATAGAGACCTGACACATGTTCAGGTCAGGAGACTAGGAGACTATAGAGACCTGACACATGTTCAGGTCAGGAGACTAGGAGACTATAGAGACCTGACACATGTTCAGGTCAGGAGACTAGGAGACTATAGAGACCTGACACATGTTCAGGTCAGGAGAATAGGAGACTTTGTAGAGACCTGACACATGTTCAGGTCAGGAGACTAGGAGACTATAGAGACCTGACACATGTTCAGGTCAGGAGACTAGGAGACTATAGAGACCTGACACATGTTCAGGTCAGGAGACTAGGAGACTATAGAGACCTGACACATGTTCAGGTCAGGAGACTAGGAGACTATAGAGACCTGACACATGTTCAGGTCAGGAGACTAGGAGACTATAGAGACCTGACACATGTTCAGGTCAGGAGACTAGGAGACTATAGAGACCTGACACATGTTCAGGTCAGGAGACTAGGAGACTATAGAGACCTGACACATGTTCAGGTCAGGAGACTAGGAGACTATAGAGACCTGACACATGTTCAGGTCAGGAGACTAGGAGACTATAGAGACCTGACACATGTTCAGGTCAGGAGACTAGGAGACTTTGTAAAGACCTGTTTAAAAGCAGAAATGAAGTTCTACAGAGAGCCAGACTTTGAGCCGAATCAACAGAGACTCGGACCTGATGTAGAAACTGACCTGATCTGAACTCTGAGCCGAGCGGAACCGGAACTTTAACCTGAAGACATTTTAAAACAGCAGATTTCTGAACGGGGTCTGGCGCCACCTTCTCCCCTCCACACAGAAAAAGAACACATGGGAGCTTCTGCAGGCTGTTACGTCACCGCGGGTTGTTTACGTGTTTTCAGGTGACCTCAGGTTTAAATCTCAGGTGTCAGGTGTGTGCGTCAAACTTACGCCGCGCGCTCGAGCTGTCTGAGCAGGTGAACAACCCGGTCCCGTCCCGCCATCTCTGCAGAGTCGATGTGAGAAGATCCGCACGAGCTGCTCACCGAGATCAAAATACTGTGACGTCAAGTTAACGACAGGACACGACTCAGTACTTCCGCCTCCGCATTTCAGAATAAAAGTCATGTGTCTCATATTAAAATGTCACTAAGGGATTTTAATTAGATTTTAAGGGTGTGGTTAATGGATGAATGATTTTTATTATAAATATATTGATGAGGGTTTTAAAAGGACAGAATTCTCATCATTAATCAAAAATCATACACACAGACTTATTCTCTGAAAACAGGATCAACCTGATAAAGTGGGACATGCAGACCTCCTGTCTGTCTCTGTGAGCTGAAACCATTTCCCTCAGTGGAAACAAAGCTTTGATTTACTTTAATTTCACAGATAAGAAACAATAAATTGTGAAGACAATAAAGCCTCCACACACTGTGTGTGATTTATCCTGGCTGAAATATGAGCAGAGCAAATCTCTGCTAGCTGCTAGGCTAATGTGTGTTTAATGTGTGTTTTGAATAAACTAAACTTTACAGCACTTCACAGAAACCTCTGCTGCTGCCTAGTGTTTAGGAGGTGTAAGTGCAGAGTGACACAGACACACCACCACACGTATAAATTCTGCTTAAGCGTCATCATTTATATCTTGACATGTGACGTGTATACCTCCACTCTGAAAAATCAACACCGAGCCCATCAGAAGAACATATGTAATCTAAAAAAAAAATAAATAAATCTGTGGCTATGACATCACTTCCAGGGGTGTGACACACTTTATTCTTATTCTTTTTTTATCAAACATTAGTAGAACATACAAGAACAAACAACATCTCACAGAGGTCGTTCCTTTCTTAAACATACAGAGTCAAATAACTGTCCACCTCGATGAAGAAACAAAACAAGAATAAAGAAAGTAACATCGACTCAGGGAGGAAGTTAAATATAATTAAATAAGAAGACACACCATGTTCAACAGCCGCGTCAGTACACGGTGTCAGTCATGTTTATGTGAGTCACACATGCATGAAAAGGTCCGCCATCTTGAACAGCTAGCTACGGCTACACCTCCTGGACAAACTCAACAATCACTGACTTAATGTTGAGAACACAGAATAATAACTTTTGACTGCACGACTGAAGGTTTGTTAAATAAAGCCAGTCCAACAAGTCACCACGTAGCCAAGTTTACAAGTCACATCTTAACATCTGTATTTATCAAAACACAGTGACGTCACAATGTTCCGGGGCTTCGTACGGTCAGTCAGAGAAAACAGATCTTTGCATCCAGCTGTGTTCTGCAGCCTCTGACTCACTGCAGCGTTCAACACCATCAAAAGAACGACTGAAACTGAAACAGCTGCAGGTGTGACTGACTGACTGACTGTGTGCTGAGGAAGACTTCTGTCCACGGAGATGAAGGCCACAGCAGCCATTTTGAACAGTAATATTATGGGATATTTTAATGATATAAATACTGTTGGGCAGGTTTCTGTCCTGTCTTACGCATCAACATGAAATAACTTGAATGAACCAGCAGAGGTCTGTGGTGGAGGAAGAGCACGGGACAACTTCTCTCTGTGTCACATGATCCACTTTAATGTCTGAAAAAGAACGTAGGACAACTGAACATCGTCAACGACAGTGGCATCGCACCTCTTATATACACCACTCTGACAAACTTAACCATAGCTCTCATTAACCTGCACGTACGGTGTGCGATATTAAATAGTTCCAAATTTAACATAAAGAGCAAATTAAAATATGTAAACAATGTACCGTACTGGATCCGTCCTCAGGATAATAAATCGTATCTGACATTCTTCTCTCTCTTCAGATGAAATGTCCTCATTTCAAAGTTTATGAAAAATAAATCTCGTCTTACTATTAAATTCTAATAAAAAGTCCATATGAACTGTGCCATTTCAGACGGCCATTTTTATCAATTTGACACGAAGGGACGCAGAGACAAGGTCGTTTTCTACCAAGCTGGGGAAGTTTTAGGCAAAGACACACTCAGGCTGCTGCACAAAAAGGGAGTGAGTTAAACACACACAAAAATAATAAAATAATTTGATTTGTCAATAAACACAAAATTTCATGAGTTTGAATGTTTCATAAACTGATGACCTGCAGAAATAAATCAAATGTGTTCAAACAGCAAAATATAAGTTTCACAGATCTGAAAAAGAGACTCTGTGTTCATCCAGTCCAGGTCAGACTGGTCAGAATGTGGTGGTTCAGGTTCAGATCTGATCGAACGCGGTCTCTGTCGGAGAATTAAAGATAAATGACATGTTTAGTTATTCAGAGTGTACAGGAAGTTCATCAGCACAAACTAAATGAAGCTGTTTGGTTTTTCAAATTAAAAGTCAGCTGAAGAGTCAGGTTACAGACGGAGGACGATGTGTAAACACTGAGAGGTCAAAGGTCACAGCAGAGACACAGAACACACCTCAGAGCTGCAGCGTGGTGACACATCGACCTTTAAACAAACCTGCAACTGTCCACACGCCTCAGCCTTTTATTCTATTCTGTTTATTTCTGCGTCCGAGGGAAGTCAACGAGTCGACTTCGGTTTATAAAACACTTTGATCAGACTGACGTTATTTTCACTTTGCTCTTTCCTTTCATTTCTTTTGCTCACATCTATTTATGGAGACTGTTTCAAATCAATCGATGAGTCAAGAGTTCAGTCGGAGACAGTTTAGAGTCAAAGTTGTGATATTTTCAGACTGTCAGTCAGCTCGTCTTCATGTCTCACCATGTCCAAAACAACAGAATAAATTAAATCATGACTATTTTAATCTCATAATGAGATGCTGATTCACTTAATTGATTATTGATTTAATTAATGTGGATTTAAGGGCTGATGAACAAGAAGTAGATGGAGGGGTCCAACATACATACCAACAGTAACCTCGGCTCACCGGACGTCGTGAAGCTGACCTATCACAGATCAGGTTTTTATGGAACGCTGCGATTCAGTTTGACGTCTGACGTAAAACATGTTTAAACATTCAGAAACAAATGAGACCGTACGACTGATTTATGATGTCAGAGATCAGATCGTCTGCATCAGGTGTTGAACAGAGGACTCAGCTCCGTCTCACTCCCAACTTCTCAAATATCGCCACATCCTCAGTGACCTCCGTCAGACACTGGCACACAGAGGCACCTTTCACACCGATATGATTCACACTGAGCAGCAGCTATCCTGACGCTGCCGGCAACAGCCACACTCATCAAATACTGCTGCTTTGTCAGTGGATGTTGGAGTCACCTGATGTCACTGACGGTCTCACCTGATGTCCTACACTCGTCCACTTAAGTCATATCTGGTCTGGTGTCTCCTGTCTGCCTGATTCAGTGTGAAAGCAGCAGCAGCTGGACAAAGACCACAGGACAAAACCTGGTGACCAGACAACTCTGCTAAAGACAACCGTGAGACATGTCTGTACGAGGACACTGATGAAGACAACCGTGAGACATGTCTGCAGGAGGACACTGATGAAGACAACCGTGAGACATGTCTGTAGGAGGACACTGATGAAGGCCATTGGCTGGATGATAATTGACAAAACTAGGCTGTATGTGGCGGTGGTTCAGGGGAGCATCCAGTGTGGCGTGCACATTTAAACACAAAGGGTGGTGGACGATTTCTTCACATTTATGCATCCACAATTTACCGTAATAGAAAAGGAGGGACTTTCTTTGTCTGGTGGTTTTGGAGGGAAGGAGAGGGAGGAGGGGCTGAGGTTCGAGGCGGGCTTATATCACCTCAGGAGGTGGGCGGTTCCAACAGGGTGGAGTCGAGTCTCTTGTGATTTTTAACAATGATGTCAGCAGGTGAGAAGTTTTGACCATGATACAGCTGACGGTGACGTCACGCTCCTCTCTTCTTCTGTGGTGGTGAATTTTGGGACTTTACAAGTCAGAGTTGGACGGACAGCAGCGGAGACACCTTCAGAGTCACAGACCTATGAACTTCCTACTGAGTGTCACAGTGTTTCCTCTCTCTGCTGGAGATGAAGGTCAAAGAGTCCGTCTGCAGTCGAGCTGAGAAAGGTCACTTCATCTTCTTCATCATCATCATCATCATCATCATCATCATCATGGAAGTCACCCGCCTGCTTCCAGCAAAGAGGAAGTCAGCTCCCGTCCGCAGTGTGACATCATCAGAGAAAGTTTGAATATGCGCCAATGACGTGTGTCGATGATGATGATGATCATCATCATCATCATCATCATCACCATCATCATCATCATCAGTCCCATTCACATGGAGGCGTGCAGAACTCCTCCCCCCCGACGCTCTCACTGATATAAAATGTAGAAACAGTTCCAGTGTTTCAGTTTGACTGAAGAGACGCAACAGAGCTGAGGTGGATGAAGACAGACAGTCAGACAGACAGACAGACAGACAGACAGACAGACAGACAGACAGACAGTCAGACAGACAGACAGACAGACAGACAGACAGACAGACAGACAGACAGTCAGACAGACAGACAGACAGACAGACAGACGGAGGGACAGACAGAGGGACAGAAGGACAGCAGCTCTGCAGGACGACCAGGTAAGTGAATACTTTATAATCTCAGTTTAAACATTAATTATCTACACAGCCTGATATGATTTAAAACTGTTGAGATGAAACTTTATTGATCTGACATGAGAGGACAAACAGCAGCAGAATATACGGAGACACATTTGTCTCAGCATCATGTGTGGACAGATGGACAGTCTGAGTGTAAACCTGTTATTGGTTCTTAGTTTCACATAAATCAAAAACAAAAGGGAATAAAAGTTGTAGAGTGACGTAAACCTGCATAGGTTCATATTAAAGCTGTAAAATACAAACTGTCCGAACATGTTAAAGAGTCACCACGGTGCTGTGAAGCAAATGATTTTCACAGCACAACTTTTCTACGTCTGTTTTTACACAAAGAAGAATCCAGTAAACGAATATTTTTATTCCATAAAATAACTCCAGGATATTTATTAGAAACTGACCACAGGATGTTTTATACAGAGGAAGATGAGGGAAGATGAAGATACTGAGCGTGTCCAGCTGTATTTATATGGAAATGTGACTTATAAACAAAATAATCTTTAAAATACAAAATAAATCTGTTATATCATATTTTACTGAAAGACAAACGGACAGATCTGAAAAATATTAATGTCAAAAAAAGTTACTATTTAAAAAAAGAGTAATATATAAATATTAAACAACAACAACAACAACAAAGATTAGTGAAGTCAGCAAAACATTTTTGCAAACATGAAACAGATCTGGGGCCTCATTTATAAAGCTTGCTTACGCACAAAACGAGGCTTGAAAGTGGCGTACGCCACTTACCACGCAAAGGTTGTGATTTATAAAAATAAACTTGGCGGGAGAATGTGCGCACCTGTAAGCAAACTCTGAGTCATGCGTGCGCACATTTTGGAGACACTGGGAAGTGGCGACGCAGACGGCGAGGTGGAGAAGTGGAGTCAGATTTTTATTGATGTCTCACACAAATTTAATGTCACGCTATATCCACCTTAGATGTTCTTGTGTTTCAAATACATGGGCCAGACGTGGCCGTCAAAGAGGCCAGGGGTGTCTGGCACCGTGTAGTTCCTAGAGCACCTCCTCTTTTTCCACGTAGATATAGCGTGACATTAAAGGTTAGCGTGTCACGCTATATCAACCTTAGATCCACGTTTCCACGTTATCATTAAAATTAAATCCAGCAGCTTTATTTTGCGCTTGGAGTGAGGGATAATTGTTTCATAAAAACGTTGTAAAACAAACTCAAATCCTGAATTGAAATTCTTTCTAAATACATATTTAATCCACACTGCCTCTAACGACTCATTGTCCACTATGTGAGCGCAGGAGGGGGAGAGGACAGCGCGACTGCATGGAATATATTTATTTATTTAGCTAAATATTTCCAGTGCATTTATCATGTCTCGAAATCCAGCCATTAAGCACAACCGTTACACTCATTTCATCAGCCCTACTTAGACATGTGCTGTTCATGACAAAACCGGCATGAAGAAACGTGTTCGCCTATTACACTTTCATCTTTGAATTGTATTTCAAATTACACGTTGTATTTTGGGACAGGGATACCACTGGTTCATGCTGTAATTCAGGCCGGGTGTCTGATCAGACTAATTGCCATAAACATATAGATACTGTGGTGACCCTCGTGCGTAATTGCGCAAGATGTCACTGTCCGTGCAGTCCCACAGACACAGCTGACAGCATCAGCAGCATTGATGTGTTGCCACTTTTCTTGCTTTCTTTTATTAGTGATCCCGCTGCTGTGGCCACCAAATAAAATCTTTCTTCAGTCCTCCACCTCCCGTTAAAGGGTCTCTAACTCAATCTCGGAGAAATTACGTTTTTTGGTTCGTTTCTCACACCTGTCGCCGTGACACAACGAGAGAACACTCGCATGTCGGCATATTTATATGTAGATCGCATTCATGAGGTGATTTGCATGACCATTTATGGTTGAACTAGGGCGTGTAGAGGGCGGAATATGAGGCGGATCTGGGTGCGCACAACTTCAGGAGGTCTGTGATTTACAAAGAGAACATTGCGTGCAAGTGTGCGTGCGCACGGTTTTATAAATCAGATTATTTTTTGGCGCACGTCGACTTTTAGTATGAATCCTAAGCACTCTTTTATAAATGAGGCCCCTGGAGATACACAAACTCCACAAATCTCTGTCTGTCTCTAATATAGGTTAGGTACGTGAGGTTGCCATGGTTACGTTTAGGACAACAAACATGGTGACGACGCACCTTAAAACGTCTCAAAGTTCACACGGTTTCACACAGCGGTGTCCTGAGGGAAAGTCCTGTGTTTTACACAACATGGCTGCTTCCTGCTTTAATCTTGGTCACATGATCACAGGCTTCCAATATACATGGGCTCTGCACAAACTACTGGTTCATCATTACGTGGGATATGTACAAATTTTGATGCCTTACTTTTCGTTGTAAAACATGTGAACAGTGCACGAGAACAGGCTGCACTGTGACAAAATTTTCCCAGAACATTATGGTAGAGATATAACTATAATAAGTTGGGTAAGATATCATTACTATCTATTTATGTATGTGATGTTGCGTTCACACCAAACATGATTTTCATGTTGCGTTACTTGTGGGAATTTGAACACCAGAATATTTTGTGTTGACTCGCTTCAAATGTGCAAATAACTCATGTCACACTCACGTGAAATCGCTGAAATGATGAATGAACTTCTGCCGGCATTTCCTCAGTGTCATACATCCCCAGGGGATCTCAACGCTGATTGGCTATTACGGTGCAATTTGGTCGCTGAAGTTCAGATTTTTCAACTCTTGTCAATAAGCATATGACAGGAAATCACACTGCTCGCTTCATTCGCACCACTTAAGTCACGTACTTGGCATCATTCACACAATGTCCATTGTGGGAATTTGCGTCTATTCCCATCTTTACTTTGACTTTACATGTAATTCACTCGTATGAATTGTTTTCTTGGCGCCCTGTGTGAACACAACGTTATCAGATAACAGCAAAGTCTCTCAAGTGTCTCTGGGTTTTCTAATCCCACAGATCGTCCTCACAGGCGCCTTATGAAGCCTCTTGTTTGTCCTCAGGTTGGACCTGTGAGCGGAGATGAAGCTGAATGTGTTGTTGTGGGTCATGGCTCTGCTCAGTGCTTTCCTCCCTCGCTCTGCTGACTGTCGACCCGGCGACGCCCCCACCGGCCACCGCCCGCTCCTCCCCCGACCGCTGCTGCTCCACCTGGGGGAGGAGTTCTCCCTCCATCTGGGTGGAGGTGGAGGATTCTCTTCTGCTGCGGCTCCAGACCTCCTCTCCTCCTCTTCCTCCTCCTCAATGGCAAACCGGGCTGTGCTGCAGCTCACACAGCGCCTCCTGCAGGCCCGGGCGGAGCACCGGCGGGAGCAGGAGGTGGAGGAGGAGGAGGAGGCCAGGGAGAAGGGGAAGAGGTCTGAGGAGCCCCCCATCTCTCTGGATCTGACTTTCCACCTGCTCAGGGAGGTCCTGGAGATGGCCCGAGCCGAGCAGATCGCCCAGCAGGCCGACAGCAACCGCAAGATGATGGACGACTTTGGAAAATAGTTCACGTCCACGAACTGTTCACTCCCTGTCCAGTTTTATCGTCTGACATCAGTCTCATGATCTTCAAATCTGCTAACGCTCTCACTTCAGCTGCTTTCAGCTCTGACTCTTCTGTGCACACTTCAGCTACAGTCAGCATTCACACACAATCACTTCAGCTACAGTCAGCGTTCACACACAATCACTTCAGCTACAGTCAGCGTTCACACACAATCACTTCAGCTACAGTCAGCGTTCACACACAGTCACTTCAGCTACAGTCAGCGTTCACACACAATCACTTCAGCTACAGTCAGCGTTCACACACAAACACTTCAGCTACAGTCAGCGTTCACATTAAAACCTGACAGAAATTCAAACTGCTGATTTCAATATTTGATCTATGAAAGATGAAAATGACATTCATCAATCAAAAAGAAATAAATGCTGAAATAATCAAATTAAAGCTACCAATAATCAGTGAATCTCTGCACTGTAAGAAAAACAATAAAGCTGACTGAACTTTTGATGACGGTTTGTGTTGTTTACATTCGAGTCGAGCGTCAGTCTGACGGGTCACATGATGCTCTCTGGATGTTTGTTTGTCATAAAATCAGTGGTCACTTTAGATTCACAATAAAACCTCTCAAAGTCACGTCTGCAGGTCGCCTGGGTCCAGAGCTTTGACTCCGCCCACTACACTGAGGACGAGTTGATTGATTCAGGTCCGGCATCTTGACATCAAACAGCAGTTTGTCAGTTAAAATAAAAAACAACCAATGAGCACCACAGATGGCTAACTATTAACCAATCAGTGCCATGGACAGGACTAACACCCCTGTCAGGCTGTTTTCAAGCTGCTGTCAGGGTGCACCACAACCAGCCGGCTGATCCGCGCATGGCTGAAGTCACACAGCGGGGCGGGTGACAGACGTTCACCTGTTAGAGGAAAGCCGTTCCTGCTTTGACTCCTCCTCCCTGGAGGGAAGGACTCGGACACAAGTCTCTTTGACTTAATAAGAAAACTGACTCTCAGTGATTTCAACCAGTTTCAGACATAAAATGTTTTCAGGACATTTGAATGAGAAATATTTGACTGAACATTATCACGTGTGATGGGATGAAGGTTTCAGATGACTCTACACTGAGTCTGATGTCACCTGACAGAAACACTGAGTCAGTTTCAGCAGAAGAAGAAAATCAGGATTCATAATAAAAACAGAATCATTTATTTGACACATGAACAGAAAATATTTGATCCGAAGAAACAAACTGAGAGTTTGAGTTTAAACCACAAAATGTTTCACATTTTTAAATATTGATTTACATCTCTTAGATTCAGAACAAACTCAGCAAACATCCTGTAACAGTGACATCACTGTGACGTCACAGTGACGTCACAGTGTTGTCACAGTGATGTCACAGTGATGTCACAGTGACAGTAAAAACACGTGTGAACGTTACTGATGTTAAATAAAAGACTGATCCAGGTCCTGATCTTATGTCACTTCTGGTTCAGCCAGCTGAAGGAGAAGACGTGTTTGGGTCCATCTTTGTCCTCCGACTCGTTCTGCTGATCAGACTGGACCTGCAGCAGCTGAGGAAGACCAGGAGGAGGAAGAGGAAGAACAGGAAGAAGAACAACAACAAAGGAAAAGGAAGAAGATGATGATGAAGTAGGAGAGGAAGATAAAGAAGAGGTGGAAGGAGAGAAAAAAGGAAAAGAAGGAGGAGAAGGATTATTTTGTAAAGTAACTGTGTTGTGAATATGTAAAAAAAAAAAAAAAAAAAAAAAGCTTAAAAATATATTTGCTCCATAAATGAGATTATTTAAAGAGGCAACAGACAGCATCTTTTCCTAAACATATCATGATGAAAATAATGTGGGTTGCACAGGGTAGTGTCCACAGTAAAATCAGACTATCAGCATTAACATAGGTTACTTAGTGGCTATGCAATCTTTGCAATAAGCTTCTGCCACCGGTGCCGAAATTTTGTGTAAAAAATCTGCTTTATGGCAGGAAACGTGTCATGTATTGTGAAACTGGTCAGTCAGCCAATCAGGGACTGGAGCTGGTCCTTATGAGGAGTTGGGCGTGAGATAGTTGAGTCACGAGCACAATGGCAGACGGACAAAGTTTGGAAACAAGTGAAAAACGGCCTAGCAAAAGAAAAGGAGCTCCTCTGTGTGAGGAGGCAAAGAAGAGCAAAAAGGAGAGTGATAAAAGAAGAGGAAAAACAAGAGTAAACCTCAGTCAGGCGTTCAAGAGATGGAGGGAGCTCTGTGACCAAAGAGGCTTCAAAACCCATGTCCAGCTAGCTTTCTTTCTAATGGATCAGTAAGTAACACGGCTAAAT